GTCGACCGGCACGGAAGCCGCTCATGCTTTCACGAAGCTTCACCGTCGTTGGTCTCCATCGCCTGTTCCTCTGCCGAATCACGGAAAATCTTTCCAATGCCAAAAACCAGCGTATCTTGGAGAATTGAAATAAAGATCCCTGCTGTTGCTCCCTTTGGAACAGACGGACAGTTTGGGCTCTACAGAATTTTATTTCGCGTCGGTGCGTAGAACAGGATGTTGTTCTGGAAATGGATCAGAGTTGGAGGAAATACATCTCTTCCTTCTCTCGAGTGTCCGAGATCAGTTTCAAGGTTCAGATCTCTGGCGGTGGATCGTCGAGAAAGTCGCGGGAGAAAAGTGTGAAAGCACCTTTAGCTGGGAGATGAGCTCGATCTGTGTCTTCGTCGTTTATTCTCTGCCCTATTTGCCGGTATATAGGTCACAGAGTTCAGCAACCCTCCGCAACCCGGGTCGACCACTGTACGGGTTGACCTGAATAAAATTTATCCGGTGAACCGATTCCCCATGATTCCGTTTTTTCCCCCGTGCTCCACTTTGCCCTCCCTTCTTTTCCTCAACCTTCTCTTTACCAATACTTGGATATTTTTAGGTATATTTATCAGAAGAAGATGTTTGGTTTATTTGGAAAACTGGGTCGTTCATCCTGGAATATTCGAATATGTAGTTGGAATACTACACAGTTGTTCACAGTTGGAATACTTCCGAAAACGCAGCTACACGCATACTTCCTCTCGAACGGACCCAACCACTCTAAAGGATCTATTTTAACACAGCCCAATAAGCATATCGAGATGCTCGCACGTGCAGGAGATAATCGAAATTACGGCACGACGGACGTCAATGATCGTTCTAATGTCGTAATAGGCGATCGACGTGTCGACTTATGCCGTAGGATATACAACGAAAATAATACGGGTTGGACGAGTGCCAGTAAGAGCCTCTCTATTGTCTTTTTAGCCGGCGAGAGAACGGTGACACACACGGCGCTCGCTGTAGCGAATGTATCCAGTGGCAGGAAACGAACGAATACAGATTTTATTCCGCGTTCAACCGTCCAAGCCAACGGCAGCTGCTTTCGCTTTTCGCCGATAGAAATCAGAGAGGAGAAAAGAGCGACAGAACGCGCGGGCCGAGTTCTCCCTATTCTGGGAAATAGCAGCGATCGATAATTTTGCGTCCGGCTTCGAAGGCACCGTGGGCCGGAGATCGGTTTTAACGCGATCGCCAGGAGCGTTCTATTAAATCAGGATTACCCGGTGAACTGCTCGTTCAGGCTTAATCACCTTTAACCCTTTCGCCGTGTTACCAGTCTGATGTATATTAAAACCAACGAGGTTATTTTCCATTTGCTCCATACAGATTCTTTTCACGCCTGTTAAAGCTGCAGATGGTGCAGATTCGGTAGTAAACTGTTTCGGAAGTGGTGGTAATTGGTTCTGGTATCGGTGAAATCCATCCCCCGGTATCGACGAGGACCGCGTGCCAAACTGGTTTGGCGTCGTGTCGCGTTGATTAAAGTGCCGAGAATAAAAGGTGCGTTAGAGGGAGGAGAAAGTAGCGGGTGTGTTGTAGCGAGAATTGAGAAGTAGAGACATTCGTTGGATGACACCACCGGAAACTCGGCTGAACGAATCGATATTTATAGAAGAAGCGGAGAACCGGCGATCCAAGTTCCGGATGCTCTCTAATCCATCCGGTGATTTAGCATTAGTCGGATGAAAAATTCGTCTACTGCCGCAGCAGCACCGGTGTTCCCGGAAAATCTCCCACGTAAACTTCCTCCCGATTTTTCCTGACCTTTCGCACCAGTTACTCTTCTTCTCCGACAACGTGGCATGAATTGAAGAGGAGAAGTATTTATTAGAGAAAAGACTCGGAAACGGCAGAGGCAGCAGGTAGAGGAAGTTCAAAGAGCAGCCAGATATCCTTATTCGAATGTTTAACACGCAGAGGGTGGCCGATGCGTCTGTCCAGGGAGAGTAGGTCGTTTCCATGGCGACAAGGGGTGCATCGGACTGGCACGTATTGCTAAACTGAACGTAGCCCCCTGACGGCCTCTAACCTACCTCCCCCTCCCATATATCCCGCCTCCTGCGGAATATCCTTGTGGCTAGGTCATCCCTCCCGCAGGAATTAGGTTACTTCCTGGAATTGGCTTTTCTTCGACCGCCCGCGAAAAATTCCTCTTCCCTTCGCGACAACCCTCCTCTTCTACCTACTACCCTTAACTCTCTCTCTCTCTCTCTCTCTCTCTCTCTCGCTGCACATCCAAGGCCATGCAATTTAGAATGCATTTTTGTGCGTCGAGTACGACAGTACCGTTAATTCTATTCCACTGTGACAACAGTCGACCTACTTTTAGATCGATCGTTGACGCTGTTTTAGGGATGTTTACCGGGATATCGGTAAACTGAACGCACCTCTACATCCTTTACAACCCTTTTGTCTCTCACGCCTACGGAATAAAGCGTATGTACACACCATCGATGTCCTCTGATTCGGGATGCGTCATCGGGAGGAATAGCCTGGGCTGTCGCGTGTCCGGAAGCCATCAGCAGCGCATCGGGCTGAAAGTAGTTCAAACGTTGTATTTTAACCTTCGTTCGACGCAACCCTGGCTCAAGTTTCAGAGTACTTGCTTCTTTCTCCTTCTCTTCTATCTGCTCGATGCTCTCTCTACTCTGACCGGAGAGAGAGCTCCAAGACCCAGTTCTTTTTCCAAAGGAGGACACCCTGTATTATTCCAGGGGATACGGAGGTGCACGACCTAGTTACGCTTGGGCGTGTTATATGGGTCATAGACACCATTCGCACTCAGTCATACGTGCACGCACACCGTGTGGAAAATCATCCTAGTTTCCAGAGAAACCACGGTCCACCGAATACGTGCCAGTCACAGTTTTATAGTACCAGGCAATTTCCAACCGACGAATTCACCTTTGGCTGAATAATCCTCTCGCGGTAATTACCAATACCAATCGAAAGATAATTTGAAACTATTTCGGAATACACAGTTCTCCGGAGGTGTACTTTTATTTGAACGGAAGGATAGCTGTTCGCTGGTTCGAGGTACGAAAGGAGGTGCTAGAAACTCGCGATCCCTTCGTTAGCTCTTTCAAGGAAACACTCGTAATCTATACTCGTATGTACAAAGTTAGGAGAAATTCAATTGTTTGTAATTAACAGCGATTCGTTCGACACCCGGTACAGTCGGAACACGCGCACGCGTGCACTTGCCCGTCTCTGTTCGCTCTCCAGAACCATTTCTCCCCGATCTCCGTCCTCGTCGTTCCCCTCGTCTTCATCGGGAAATTTTCCCAATTCTCCCCTCGCGCGCGTGGTCCCCGGTTTTTTCGAGCCTCTTCATCCCCTTCTTCGCGGCACCACCAGCCTCCTCTCTGTCCCTCCCGCGTTCGCCGAGTCCGTCTCGCGCGCTCTCGATATCTCTCTCTCCTCGTCGAGTCCGCGATTCTACGGTCCGCGCCGCGTTTCTCTCTCAGTCTCTCGCGCAAAGCGCTTTCGTCGCGACGTATCGTTGCACTCGATAGATTGTGGCTGGTCCAGGTCTCTTCGTCGTGTGTACCTCTCTTTCTCTCCCTTTCTCTTTCTTCTTTTCTCTACTCCGTTTCTCCAGCATTTCCAAACACGGCGGCGGTTCTTCTGATTATACTTGCTTCGCTTGGTTTTCGCCTCCGTGTTTCCACCACCCCTGTTGGAGAGAATGACGATTCTCGCGGCCAGGGAGCATGGATCACCGTAGAAAAGAAACGTGGTGGACGTTGGATGTTTCTCCGCCGAGATAGCGGCCAAGGAGACGGAGAAAGAGAGTGTATTGCTATTTTCGAGACGCCGTGGAGCCCGGCCAACGCGTGCGTCCGGTTTACCGTAGGAAAAAAACGAGTGGAAATCGCGGGTGGAAGGTCGCAGAGCGAGATCTACCGTCGGCGTTTCTTCCCACCTTTCCAAATCGTTCACCAGACAGACACGCGTGCTCTCCTAGCGGTGTAACAGTGCGAAGAGAAAAGACGAAAGTTGAACGTTCTATCTAGCCGCGTAACGCGAGTGATCGTGCTGATCGATCTCAGACGCATCGTCCAGCCGAGCATTAACCCGCATTAACCCTCGATACTTCATTTGGGAGAATTATGATAGTCGGTTCTGTGGGTAGATCGTTAGTCGTCGTGTTGAGTTTATAGGATGGACGAGAAGCTGGTGATACACGTTTGAACAGAGAACCTGGAATGTTGTTCAGTTATACCTGAGATAATTCGCAAGTTTCGCCGCGAGGAGAAGATGATCGATGATAGTGAATTGTGCGTGATCTATCGGTGAATAAAGTTGAGTCTTGGCGGAAGGGGCAGAAGAAGAGGGAAATACGTTTTCGAGTCACTTTTAGTCGCGATGATTAGTCAAGATGATAGTCAATTAATCGTCATGGAGATTGGCCTCTGGAGGTTGGTTTTCCTCGATTTGTACCATTTTCCAATCGAACGACATTGCAGTAAATGTAACAAAATGTGTAACATCACGGCCGCAGACGTGCGTTACGGTGTTTGCAAGAAGGTTCGTTCTCGTGCACGACTGCTAGAAAAGTTTCAAGTCTAATTTGTCCAACTTCGAGAGGCATTGTTTCTAACAAATATCTTTTGTCACGTGTAACCGTAGCTTGCATGCACGTAAATGAGTGCTTCACTTGCCACCAGGATTTTCCTTAACGTAGAAACTAAAAGAAATCTACAGATCCAATCTACAGATGAAGAAATTGTTATCGCTTTGTTTTTATTTTGTTTTTTCTTCCCACAAAAAGCCATGACCGTTGTGTTGTATCTGCTTACAGAGTGTACGATGTTGGAAGGTGGACGTGCAGTGATTTGGCTCCTTGTATCAGCCCCACGAGCTGCACGCCACCCGAAAGATTCACGTACTAACCCAGTTGCACCTGTTTGAACCCACCAGTTGCAGAGTCTTGCACCGTAACCCCATGACGCATTTAACACATGGCCCGCCTGGAGAGTAAGTGCATCCACACTCACGATATTCGTTCGTCTCCCGTCCCTTTTTTCCTACCTAGTATAGTGGGAGAATTTGGCAAGAAATCGTGGAGGAGAGAGAGGAGATAGCGAGGATTTGGTTTGGTTGTTGCAGTACCAAGTATAGTGGTGCATAAAGGCAGCAGGTCGCACAGCCGACCTGAGAGTCCCACGGTGGTGGTGCGAGGAGGAATGCCCTCACTGCCATCCTCCAGGCAAGGCTTCGATACGTCATATCGGAACAGCCCTGAGTCGGATATGATAGACGGGAATGCCAATCCGAATGTCGGCTCTTCTCCCGCACCGAATTCGCTCCACCGTAGCTCACCCTCATGTCCCCCCGATAAATCAGACACAGAGAACAAAAACTTTCGTAATAGGGTAGGTAGTAGCAGTACGTAGAAAACCTGTTTCTAGTTACAACAGCCCTTCTTTTTTTACTTTCCGAACAAGTTAAAACGAGCGTGAAATCCATTTTATTTTCTCTTGTCCATCGGTAGACGAATACGAAAGTGAAGCTGCTGGTCAGGAGTCATGCTATGAGAGAGTCGACCTCTCCCCCGAGGGAGCCACACAACGGTTCGTCGTCTCCGCATAGTCCACAATCGGTGGACGGTGAGAAAAAGTTCGCGGGTAGCCTGTCTCCTAATTCCACTAACGCCAAGCTCAACAACAACGAGTCAATGTTCAACAGTAATCTCTGTCCGAACCAATCCCCGAAGCAGATGCGCACCACGGCCACTTCACCTACCTGTCGAGCTCCGTCAAGAAATGGTAAGATTCTTTTAAACTGGATAGTAAATATCGTTGGTACGATGAACACAGATCGTTACCTTGATCGCAGGTCAATCTAGTCCTTCTCAAGTTCACTCACCAAAGAATAACACTTCGCCAACGAACGGCAATAAGTCGGAGAATCATCGTTCCAAGATGACAGGCTCGAACGTGATCCAGAAATGCAATAATTGCGTGAAGAACAATCAGAATGACCGGCCCGGCTTACTACAAACGCCCGTGTCCCCGTCAAAGTCAGGCCAGGTGTTGCAGCACTCGCAAAAGTGCACGAACCTGGCACAGAACGCGCACAACAATCATCAGAAGTCGGAACAACGTAGACCGAACACGTTGAACATATGCAACAACCAGTGTTCGAATCAATGCGGCAACACGTTGTCCGTGAGCAGGCCAGGCTCGCGGCACAAGCTGAGGCATCAGAATTCCTCGCAGGGTAGCTTCGACAGCGCTTCTCCTTGCCTCTCACGAGGTTCGTGATTTCAATTACTGATAATTCAAGTGTACCTTCCCCACTGTCAAGTTGCTTTTGAGGAGGAACGATTGATATTTTCTTCGCAGATAGCAGTACGGAATTGTACACGGACAGTACAGGAATAGATCTGGAACATTTCATCGCGGAGACCATAAATCGTAATCAGAAAGACCGCACGGTGCTGTTGAAAATCGAAAAAGATCTGATAGAGTTCGCCAAGGACAAACAGAAAGTCTGTCACAAGTTTCCAAACATGTCCTCTTACAATAGGATGCTAGTGCATCGCGTAGCGGCTTACTTCGGCATGGAGCATAACGTGGATCAATCCGGTTCCAGCGTGATAGTCACCAGAACGAAGAACATGCGAATTCCAAACACCCGTTTCAAGGAACACATCAGGGATGATTTAATTTTATCAGAGGAGCCGCGTAGGAGTATCCTGAAGAGAGATTCCAGTTCGTTCGAGGACAGCTTCAACTTCAAGTCCCCTGACAGGCTATCCGGTGACTACTGTCGACAGAATAAGAGTTTCGAGGAGAGGGAGGAGGAGTACGAACGCGCCAGACGAAGGATATTCAAGGATAGCAGCGGAGAATGCAGCGAGGTTGCATCTTGGCCCTACTGGTCTTCTTCGGAAAGCTCCGACGTTTCCGCGAGATATCGTTTGTTGCATCCTTCGGATCACACGATGAGGTGAATTTTGTTGCAGCCAAGTTTTATGGTCTGCGTTGAGAAGGCTAATGTGCGTGTAACGTGTAATAGGCAAACGAAGCTCATGAAGGGGGAATCCTTCGATGGAAGGGAATCCTGTCGAGGTTCGGTGATGAGGCCATCCGTATCCAAGTCTTTCAGCTTCGGTGGCTACACCAGGGGCATGCTTTCCAGAGGGGACAGCGTCACATCTACTCACAGCGCTGGAGCTCGCCTCATGAAGCAAGGTTCGTTGATAATTATTGAATCAGTTCACCTATAGTACGTCTATAAATTAGAAGTTAAACCTGTTGCAGATTCAGGCGCTAGCATGTGTTCACGGCTGAGCCCTTCTAGCAGCGGTTACAAGTCGCAGAGTCAACGTAGCGACGCCACGATATCGCCGTCTCCCTCGCCATCTCCTGTGCCGACCATGACCTGTAGTCACACGCAAGTATCTAGTCACGATCTCGCTTCTCCAGAATCGAACAACCAAACGGTGATGTGGGCAGTCACCAGTATATCCAGCGTGCCGCCAGGTAGCATAATTATAAATCCGCAAACGAACCAGCCGTACACAAATCCGGATGGTTCGATCTATCGCTTCGATCCGGAGAACCCACCAAAATTTTATACCGCTGCTACGTCGCCGCATGAGAACGAGACTAACAACGTGTCGCCCGTGAAAAACGTGGAATCATCCGAGCCATCCAAAGTAACATGTAACACGAAGAACGAGAACAGGAAGAGGTCGCAATCCAATAAGCACAACGGTGGTGGTGGTAACACAACGACAGTGACTCATGTGACAAATTCAGCGACATCGCCAAGTTTACCGTTCACGCCACCGCCACAGCAAAATTCTCGACCACCTCAGCAACAACTGCAGCAGCAGCAGCAACAGCAACAACAACAACAACAACAACAACAACAACTGCAGCAACAGCAACAGCAGCTACAATCACAGCAGCAACAGCAGCACCAGCAACAACATCATCAGCAGCAACAATCTCTAGTCAAATCGTCATCGACGGTGCAAACTTGTAATCATAACCAAACAGCTCAACCATACACGACCTACGTACCTACCTCAGAACCGTACAACCATGGTGTCTACCAACCCCAAGTGGGACAGCAGACTGTGATGATGGCTCCTCATCCGAGTCAGGGTCAGGCGAACATTCAAAGTAATGGTCAGGGGGATGTGTTTAATCAGAATTCGGTTTACGCGAATTATGCAGTACCTGTGCAGCAAGGACCAGTGTCACAGACAACGGAGATTACCGAATTGTCTGGCTATTTTATGGGGATGAGTATCTACGATCAACGCGTCCCTGGTGATAATCATTCGACGCCGCCGCATTCTTATCCGCAACCGCAACCGTCTACCAATCAAGCGGTGCAGAGTGTGCAGACTATGCCGCAGAATTATTGGCAGCCACCACCCAATTCTGTACCGGTATAAATTTTTTTCTACTTTTCTTACAGTTTCATTTACGATTTCGTGTTAATTTATCGATATTATTTAGTTGTCTCAGCCACAACAAACGATGTACTTCGTACCTCCAACTGGTGCAGCGCTTTCGGTTAGTCAGGGTCCAGGCGATAGGCAACAGTTGCATCAACAGCAAAGATTCACGCCAAATTATTCTTTTAATGCACAAACCATGACTCCTCCGAGCCAATCAAATTGTAAGTCACTCTCTTCTGCGATTCGAAATGGATATTTCTATCCTACGAATTATTTAATCGTATTCTTCCTGTTTTAGCTACTAATTATGTGGGCAGTTATCCAGTCCCTTATAATTCTATGCCCGCTGTCACACCAACACCGAGCGATTATACGTATCAACCACCGGTTCACATGGTCCCAACGTACTATCCACCAAGTCAAACGGCGATTCAACCACCACCCGTCATGTACAGAGTACCAACACCACCGAACACTCCGACTTCTAATCAGGCAATTATCCTGTACAGTTGTAGAGCATTGTAGCCAATTAGAAGCGTCCTATAGCTGTTCAATTTACAGATGCCTGGGATGCCATTGATGTACGTGAATTCTGGTAGCTATCCACCACCAACGATGATGTCTAATGGAACATTTGGCCACCAAGTCGGGCACAATGGCACACCTCCTGCGCCTCCAGGAACATACATGACTCCTGCGCTGGTTCCCAATCTCGTTTTCAGACAAAATGTTCCCGTAAGCCTGTGTATCCATTGAATAGAATCAATTTTACAACGAATATACTTTCATGTGTGTGTGTGCACTAGGTCGTCACTGGTGTTCGAGCTTCAACGCCAGGTAACTCTCAGAGGACTAGCAGGTCTCCGACTCCAGCACACGAGCTGTTCGGAAGTGGGAGCGGGGACAGAAGCGCACAACCCCAATCACGCTACCCACTGCCAATGTATCAGGGTGTCCATATTGTGCAAGGTATAGAATACTTATTTTATACATGTTTATAGAGATTCAACGAAAGTTTCTCTGTTACAGGGGATATGAGATTGATGCATCCAGCGGTACCAGCGAATCCTCGGTTGCAGTATGCACCAGTACCACCATCACCACCTGTTGTTCAAGGCTGTCCACGACCTTACAGACCTCCATCTTACTCATCGAACACCTCAGGTGCTGGTACACCAACCTCGTTTGATGGGAGAAATCAGAAAATTCGGAAACATAGGTGATTCATGTTATTATCAAAGTATGAAATGTGCATAGTGTTAGAGATGGAAAAGGCAGCGAATATGTAATGTTCTTTAGGTCCAAGGTAGCACCGTTTCCACCATCAGGCGCGCGGCCCAATCTTTATCAAACTCCTTCCATGCCGTCGTTCTCATCTAACGTGCCGAAAGATATCAGAGAAGGTAAGGATCGACGTAATTGATTCTTCGAATACAATTAGATGTGTTTCGCTCTGGTACGTTTTCGCTTGAAATGTTTTGTTATCTTTCTACTTTTGTTCCGCTTACGATAAATGAGATTGATATTGACACAATTATATATGACACGATTCTTGTATCTCCTTAAAAGCGAAACCTGTGGAAGACAATATGATATAAGGTACAGAACTTCAGTATAAAATACTTCGAAAGAATACACACCGGTCTCTATATATACATTTAACGTTTAACATAGGTGCTTCTTCACAATGCGTTCAGTTTTGCTCTCTATTTGATATATTTCGTTGTTCGTGTAATAAATATGCCTGGAAAATACTTACTATTTCATATATGGTACTCCCCTTGATACCATATATTAATCTTCTTGTGAATAGAAAATCATAGGAAGGCTAAATTTTCAGAGCATGTTTGACTGTAGCACTGTACGCTTACACACTCACGCGCACAGGTTTCTATAGGTACATTTTCTTTTCGTCGTCTATTATGCGAACATGTTGCGTTTTCGCAGCACTACGATCTAACTTTTTATTCGTTTCCTGTTTGAACCAAGTCGGATCGTCTAACCTTGTGCTTCGTGTCGCACGACAGTGTAAAAACAAGCACCGTGGCAAAAGATAACGTGGTGAATATTTGATTCCAAAGTCGACACATATTTCAGTTTCTTTTTTGTGTAACGATTACAAACGTATGCACGATTGTTCGCAATTGATCGTGCGATCTCTGAGTGAAAATACTCTTTAGCAATCGACTGTTATCGATATATCTGTATATATAATATTGAGACACCTATTTAACGCAATCCTGATTTGCACAACAACAATTCACTGGCATTGTATCACGAGGATCGATGAAGGAAGCCAGTGCTGCTCTCAGAAATAATCTTCTAATTACAGGGACCGTGAAGGTGACAATCACCCGTCGTAACCAACTGGTACAATATTAAAAGGTACCTGGGCCAATTTTGGGGGAGAAGATCAGCGACGACGATGAACGCAAAGACAATTAAAATCGTTGCAGGCTGATTGAGAAAAAAAGAAGCAACAACAACAGAGGAACCGAATAGCAGCTCGTGATTTACCTACCGCTATACATACACGATTCTTATTAATATTAACAATATACTTTTCATTAAAATATCTAAAAGAAGAGAATATAAAAAAAGCACACACTGATAGATTACTAAAAACAAAAAAAAAAAAAATAATTCACGTGTTACAAAGGCGAGGGAGGAACGAACTGGAGCGAAGAGAACCACCCTAAGATAAGAGCGAAACACGTTACATACATCCCTTTTGATAAAACGCGGAGAACGATGAAAATAAAAAGAAGAAAAGAAAAATGAAAAAAAAAAATTGAAATCACGTTGAATTCGTTTATCCGTACCGATATTATATAGCAAAAAAAAAAAAAAAGAAAAAAAAATGGAACTATCAGGATTATTGAAGAGAATAAGAGAGAAGGTGAGACTCAGCAGGGAGGAACATGTATGTGTGCGTTGTTTTTTGGCGTAGGGCACGATAGACACAGTGGTACACACCGAACAGAGTTACTGAACAGAATTTTAAGCGGTTTTACAGATACTATATGAATGTGAGATTTACTTTTAAGGAAAGGTACTTTTAAAGTGAACACACAGGATATACATATATACGCGGAAGATTACCTGGGCCGGTCTTCTGCCCATCGAAGCCACGACCGGCTAAGGAAATCGCACCGCATATGAAGTAACGATAACAACAAAATAAAAACTAATGTACGAGTATTATAAAACAAAACAAAAAAAAAAAAAAATACTAAGTTACTGAGTACGTTTACAGCAAAAGGGGCAAGAAAAACCGCAAACGCTGTCCAGCGCGAATGATCTCTGGATCGGCACTACGTTCGTTCAGGAATGATTACTGCTCACTGATTCTTCTGTGTACTGCCACCAAAGAGTTGCGTTACTAATAATCTTAAAGAAACTAAAAAGCGAAAAAAAAAACGAAACAAAGGAGAAAAGAAGAAGAAAGAAAATGGAAGAATAAAAATTGCTGCCAGCTGCGATTCGCGGACAGAATGAAATTATTTGCTACCTCAATTTTATATCGAACAGAAAAAAGGATTTTTCACACGTTATCGGCCTTTCAAGGAGTTGTGCACTCACAGAGAAAGCTTTTTGATTCTTTTCATCCGTGGATGAGGATTTCGTCGAATCTTTAACGATATTTGCAACGTGATTTACCCATGTACACAAGGTGTATCGTATTACCGAAACGTATTTCAACCAGGAAGAACGTTCTTCTTTCGGTACATATATCATCGTCTCCTTTGATATCTTGCATTCTAACCTACCCTTAACGCTTCTGATCTCTGACGATTATTTTAGTACAAGTTAATAATATGTCGCTCGTGGAAAGGGTGTAAACGTATTCAGTACCATGGTTTGTATATCTAGTTCGACACAGTAGTTAAGTAGCGCGAAACCATCACAGCTTAGTATCACGAACAGAGCAACCTGCCTAGCATGCGTCTTTTTAAAAGAGACAGAGAGAAAAAAAAGAAAAGAAAACGATCCTTCTTTCATTTCTGTTTTTTGTCCGCATAAAAAGAAATAAGGAAATAAAAAAACACTAGGGAATTGATGTGAAGTTTAGCCGATTACGACTACAATTTAATTTTCATCGAGGAGAACGATAATGTAACCGTGACAGTGCGCTCCACGTTAACATAACACACATACACACAAACATAAACATACACACACCAGTAACTATGATTCGTCTTCCAAGCTTCACAGCACGCTTCTGAATCCTATAGATATCCGAGCTACATACGTAAAAGAAAAGAAAAAAGTAATAGGTATATATACTTTTCATGCCCGATTCTTGCGAAGAAGCAATATGTATCAGTTTTTGGCAGCGGTGTGATGGTGACGCGTGATCGTCGTAATTAATAATGTCTCCGTCTGTGAAAAAAGAAAAAAACAAAAAAGAAAAAAACAATTCATCTGCGGACCAACGTAGACGTTTCTCACGATGTCATAATTAAGATTCGCTTTAATTTCTTCATTCAGTCAATTGTCTAATGTTAAAAGAATAAGTAGTTTAAGTTTAATATATTTGATAGATGATCTCCTGCGTAAGTTGATATAAGATGAGGAGGGGTGTACGTTGTTCCGCACGAGAAATACCAAGTGGAATCCATCCAGAAGCTTCGCTTACGGTGATTGTACTTCAGGACATAGGTGAAGGGTGTGCCTATCTTTTTATTCGGAACTCCATGTGACAAAGAAGCGCGCGCACCGCGACCTTTTATCTTACCCTATGCCAAGTGTGACACGAAAGAGAGGCGGTACTTTCTTCTCTGAGAAAGCGTGATAAATTTAACTAAAGAAAACAAATGAAAAAAAAAAAAAGAAGCTCTAGATATAAAAATAAAGAAAGAGAGAGATAGAGGTGGCGAGAGAAAGCAAGAGAGAGAGAGACCTGAGCAGATAAATATTAGGCAGATTTAAAATTAAATTATCCAACGTTTCAATTATAAAGAGATGGGCGCACAACAAAGTAGTGTTTAACTGTACCTAAAATCGTCGTAGTGATTAATGAAGATAATTGTACCTATAAGAAACAAGAAAAAAAGTTCACGAATCTCTCTAAGGCATAATTAAAAAGGAAGGAGGAGAAAGTGAAAACGGAACTGGATTATCGGCTATCAAGTGCAACAGCCTGCACATGTGTCGTTCGTAGTAGTTCTTGCCTCTTACGTGTATATTATTTTCAACGATTATTTCGTTCGTGTATGATCCTCTTGTAGTACGGTCGTTGTTAATTACCATCAGGAAGCATATAGGAACCGAGCCATACAGAGTGATATATAATTTACGATCGAGGCGTTATTTGCAGGCTGTTGCGCTTAAACGTCGTGCAACCGGGGCAGCTGAACCAAAGTCATGATTGCAATTGCACAGTCACATTTATTTATTTTTCATTTCGCTCGTGTACGCTTTTATCAAACGAACGCTGCTCTGTGCATCTGTTTTTACTCAACGGCGCGCACCTGAAACGAGATTTCCGTTCTATTTACCCTTAATTCACCGTGATCGATCGCCTCGCGTTTAATTATGCGTTACACAAGTGATCTCACTGTGTGTGTCGAGAACAGTTTTGCTCAGCAGATGCGTGGAGCGTCGTTCGATCGCCACAAGTGATTTCGTAAGTTCGCCTGGGCTATTTAAAAAAAGAAAAAGCAAGTGTAGAGAACGAAGAAGAGAGAGAGAGAATATTGACGAAGTCATCCAAATGTTAGATGATCTGCTCGAGGAATATTAAAAACTATGTACGATCGAAGAGAACGGGTGATAAAGTCATTGTAAGTTCGCAAGACCTCACGTTCGTTTCCTACTATTTTTGTATGCAACATAAGAAAAAAAAAACAAAGGAGATTGACGGTAGCGAGAGAATTAAAAGAAACAAAAAAAAAACACAAAAAGAGTTTGTGTGTGTGAGAGAGAGTGGGAGAGGATGAGGACGAAGGATGAAGAGAAAAAACTACAAAGTTGAGGATGAATGAACGTTTCGAGCTTTTCCGTTTGAAGATCCTCGCATCTTCCTGATCACCTTCCGTTGATTGCGTCGCCACGTCGAAAACTCGTTAGCCTTTAAGTGTAGAGCCGTGTGCCTGTAACATCGACCGATTCATTTTGTTGCGCGCGATTAGCTGATTCTCGATATTACATGCAATAGCAACGGCGCATGGCTGAAAACTTTTCGTCCACGTGAGGAGTGTAATTGAATTTTCAATTGTTATCTGTGCGACTCGTCGTAGAAGAACCCGGTACTGTACGAGAAACGATGGAACGTTAATTAACTCTGTTTGGTCACGTCTTGAGATTTCATTTAAAGACAAATTCTGGCAACTTCCTTCTGGTCGATTCTTGTACGGTATCGGTAATTAGTGCGTTAGATAGGGGATCGGTAACTTTGTAAAATTCGTTCCCTCGCATTCTTTACGTTTCATTCTTTCGAACACTGTGCGGGACGCAGAAAACAGACGACAGATTTGTTTGTTGCCGATCTCTTTAGATGTTAGCTGGCGTGAACTCGACATCTCGTTGTTGAAAAGAACGAAAGAGCGAAGTCAGATCGTTTTCCACGACCAGTCGGTTTGGAACGCGGCGCTCATTGTGAATACGTTTGAAAATGCGGATTAATCTCGATCGAACATTGTGCGAACGAACCGACGAGGACAAGATTCGAGCGAATCGCACTTGCGTATTCGCATTCTTTCCAGATCACACCTGGTTGTTTCTTTTCCGTTCGACATATCACATGGAACAAGAGCAAACGATGGCTGTGCCTTTATGCTTAATATTATAGTTTAGAGTTTTCTTTTTGGACTGAGATTTATGTGCAGGATGTACGCAGGCTCGTTTCTTGTCCTACAACTGCAAGTTGAAGTGTACTTTATATATTTGCTAGAAAAAGAATGTAACGATATTCAAATGTATTCACTGATATATACTTTATGGGCGAAATGATGCGAAAACGATGTTAACTCTTTGAGGCTCAGGGAGATCAAATCTTCAACGTTTCATTTCTTTTACATGAGACATAACAATTGTACGATTTATAATGTTAAGTTCACGATAGATCTTTTGCATTTGTATACAATTTTAAGAATTTTAAGAGACAAGTAGGTAAAAACGTACCGATCCCCAAAGAGTTATACGGGTGGGGAAAAGATGATCGAG